GCACGCCTTTAGACTGTGGGAGGATGTAGAGGAAACCACACGCTCACAGGGAGAACATAAAAACCTGACATAGAAAGGCCCCAGCCAGGGTTCAAGACACTTTTGCTGCGACAGTGCAGCCATTAGACCACCACGAGTGATGACCCGAACGCAGGATGCAGGAAACAGACTTAAAAGAAAGACTCTATGGCAGTTATAAGGAACCACAATGGAGATCCAGACCTGGTGCTAGGAACCAGGGGAAAGAAATCAAGCAGCTTCTAACAAATTTATAGTGGAATAAATATTCAAGTGTTTGCGTCTCGTGTGCAGGTATAGTTTTTTAATTTGATACATTTTAGTTATCAGTTTTATTGTTCTCGATGTTGTGTGTTCACTGATTTGGAGCTTTAAGTGCACGTTAAGCACTAAGTGTATAAAGCTCATATATTGAGCCCTGCTCTCCAACACTGACAGAGCTGTAACAGTGTCTGTAGCGGATTTAAGACGTGCTCACATTTTTGAGTGTTTGGCGCCATCTTCTGTCAGCACAGAAGGTTACATCACCAGGTTATGAACTTTAAGCATTTATTTCTTAAATCCAGCTTCAGAGACTGAATCATGTCTGTGTCAGCCTTTGAGAGCAGAGCTCCGTGATGTAACATGTAGTGCTTCATGTCCACTTTGAAATGCTTCTGGTTAAAGTGGAAAACATACAAAGTTAAAACAAGAAGAACTGATTAATATTCCACTCTGACTCCAGGTGGGAATTTGCTCCTGACGTCGCAGCATTAGGAAAGAGAGTTTTCACGCAATCTTTTTAAACATCTTGATGAGGGCGTGCACGCTGAATCGTGTTTTCTGTTAAGCATGACCACGCCATGAGAAGAAAGCATTTCAGACTTAGTTTAGAAAGAGAGTGCCTTGGGCTTCACTAATGTTGGAGTGTGCCTGATCACTGAGTGAGCCGTGACGCACGATCTGATATCCTCGTGTTGGTGTTGTTCCCAGATCATCATACTAAAGGTTGTTCCAGGATCAACATTGCAAGTGACCAATCAGAATGTTGTGATGTCATACTTTTGCGACTTCGGGAAAAACCGGCGTAAAACAAAAAATTGTACTTAAGCTGCGAGAACCCGCCTTTGTCCACCGATCAACGGACCCTAACCCTGACCCTTTAATAAACGCTAAGCAGAATTGATATTGTCCTTGCAACATTGGAATTTCATAAATGCACGAATGGGTTGGTGCGCAAAAGAATAACGTCACAATAATGTGATTGGTCACTTGCAATGTTGAACCTGGAACAACATTTTCATGATGATCAGGAACAACACCAACACGACGCTATCAGATCATCCGAGCCGTGACAGTGCTACCAAGGCCATCAACTGCTACACCGCGCAGAATACAGCATGTGTCTATAACGAGTTTGCCTGTACGTGGCTGAGGTTGTTTGTCCCTCCGGCTCTCTGTAGGGAGGAGCACATCCAGGCGCTGCTTGCCGTGCGTGGCGACGCCAGCAGGGAGATGCGGCAGATGATCATCGGAACGCTCAGCGAGAATAAAGTGTCACATTCTGGTGTCACGCAGTCCATTTTTAAAGACATCGCTGTGCCCACCATTGCCATGACGACCATGACTACAATGACCTCCATGGCAACCTCAAAGCTGCTAAAATAAAGCCTATTTCCATGTCCGGCTCCTTCGGTCACACTAGCATAACAAAGGATACTTTATTTTTCACTGGTTCTTGCAGCCTGTTTTCTGTATTCACTCATTTTGTTCCTGATCACACGCCTGCTTAAACAAATACAGTTTGTATTGTATAAATGGACTGCATCACGGCTTTAATTAGAGGTGCAAAGCATCACAAGACTTTATGTCCTCTCCTTTTACTGAAATTCCCTGTGTTACTTTGTTTCTTGTCAGTCATGTTTCTTTACCTTCGCTGTCCCCTGACTTCTGTACAGCATTCACTTAACTTACAGTTTCATTTTTAATAGCCGATACTTCAAATTACATGTATGGACTGAGCATTAAAGAAATGGAACAAAAGCAGGATACCTTAAGAGAAAAATAACTCAAGAGGCCGTGGTATTCAAGTGTTTGTTTTTTAATATATTTCATAGAAAGTTCACATGAAAAACACCTGGATCAAAAGGTTCTGGTAATCACCAGAAGCTAAAACCAACCAGACAAAGGTCCCAGAGAATCAGGTGATGCTCTCCTAGTGTAATTGATCTAGTGTCATATTTCGGCCGGACCCCATCCTAGATGTTATGGGACAAGAGGTGGGGTTCACCATGGACAGGTCACCAATCTGTTGCTGAGAGACAAC